AAAAAAAATTCCAACCATACAAATGCAGTCAACACATCACCATTAAATCCATTCGTAGAGGATTCCATGTACATATAGATTAATCCTTCTGTTAATTCGGTGAATTAGTTAGTTGTTAAAGGGTAGTTGAAGATGCCTTGGCCTATATTCACAATTCCTATTTTTTTGTGAATAATTCTATTTATACATCATGATTTACGAATTGATTTACAAATAGATTATGTGTTTTATAATATAGAAAAGTCACTTTGCCAGAAGAAAAAGTCCAAAAGCAGTGCTGAAAGGTGTGTAGCAGGAGGTGATTGGATGAAATAGATAATTGTGTTTTAAATCATTCAATGATACAATGTCACGTGACATTATGTAAATAAGCATGATGTACATGTAACATGGTCTTTATAATAACTTTTTTTGTATTTCGCATTATCTGTTTTTCTTTTCTCTTCCTCTTCCATATCATCATTATGTAAACGATGATTTACAAACATCATTGCTCTTTTTTCCTTTCCTTTGTTAGTAGGGTAATTTCACTCCATTGTAAAAGATTTTATACAGAGAAAATTAATGTTGAAAAGTTTGTCCAATTGATCCGTTGATTCGATTTTAGACTATTAAGTGATGAGTGATTGTAGATTCCTTAAAGTCTAATCTTATCGGGGCCAAGCTAGGTTGAATAATGACTACTATAATTTTGTATTTTATGCCACTTGATCTTCGAAGTCTTGGTTTATATGATCAATTCAATACTCGTATCAATAATTTCCATAGTGAAAAAAATGTAAAGAGAGTGTAGAAAGTTAAGTCCATATTTATGGAGTTCGATAAGAGCTACCTATATGGTTAACTTAATTTACGTTTGGATGGTACATATTAATTACACTATTTATTATATATATTTTTCGAGATAGTACAATAATTCTATATTTTCGTTGCCTTCAAAGTCTTGGAGATTTTCTATTGTACTTCGATGCTCAAATCAAGATATGACTAATGTGAAAGCAATTAATAAATTATCGTGATTCTTGGTCGCTGGATATTTTCCATATAATTTATATCTTTTAATAACTAATATATCTAAATTATTTAGTATTTTATTCCATTTCCCACTTAGTTGAGTCCTAGTCAAAGAATTGATTAATCAATTAATTAAACTCGTCTTTGATTTGATCCAAACCCATAAGGGATTATTAATTACAATTATACGTTAAAGCACAAATACGTATACTTTTAATTTGAGGCTGTAACTACATTAGTACATTATGGTCTTTTTTTATTAAATTTTGCTACACTTACATTATCGTAGACGGCTTTGTTTACACTCATGATAGGACACACCATTTCGTCATTAATTTCAATAACATTTAAAACAATCAATGACCTCAGTTTTAGCATATCATGGAATGTCATTCATGATGTACAAAAGTGATGTACAAGTATTTTTTATTTGACATTTACAATAAATTATTGTTTGTACAACTTATTTATTATTTATAAGTCTTCCTCCAATAATTCGACTATTTAATTACTAAAAGTTCTTTTTTTCTTATTTGATATTCACAATCTTGTGTTGTTATTTTAGTACACACAACGTAATAATTTTAAGTACTCATTTATTGATTAGACTATAAACGTCTTTCTTATTTGCTTCACAACATATCATGGTTGTTGGCAAATGTACGACTCGTTATCATTACAAGTTCTTTCACCGTTTTGCAACTTTCTATCTTAATTTTATTTCATGTGACATACTAAACATGTCGTATGTACAAGAGGAGCAACATTAATTTAGCGCGCATTTGAACGTTTAACAAATTAAGCTAATAAATAAATAGAAAAACACGAATTTTAGACCCACTTACAGGTGGATAGTGATGGCACTCGGCTCGGCTCGTTGCCCCACGAGCTCGGCTCGTTGCCCTACGAGCCGAGCTCGTGGCTCGTTACAAAAC